GAAGTAGCTCAGCAGACTAAAGCACTGCTTAGGAAAGCTTAGGCAAAAGCAGGAACGGGGATTTGATCCCTGACACCATGTGCTGTGCCAGCCCTGCCCCCAGGGCTGGCTAAACCTGCCTGAGTCCTAGTAGTGCATGCCTGTAATCCCAGCACTGGGGAGACTGAACTCCTCAGTTATCATCAACAGATTTATACAAAATTTCTAACTTAATAATGAAAAGAATAAAGCCTGTGTAGACAAAAAGAAAAAGAGGTAAAAGATTCAAAAGACTTGAACAGTTAACTAAGAAAATATAATACAATAATATATTATCATATAATATATACCTATTCAAGGAGGTTCACCACAAGTCTGAGCTGCATAGTGAGACTCTGAAAGAACCAAATACATACAAAAGAAATGAACAGAATCTACTAGGAAAATATGAGATACATTAAGTGCCTTTAGCAAGTTTAATAAAAGATCAAAGAAGGATAAACGTGAGTCATTTGTGGGAAAATGGTTGCATCTTGAGACCACAATATTAAAGGAAGTAAGTCAGGCATACAACCTTAAATATCACTGGTTCCACTTATATAAAAAACTTAATATACAAATAAAGTATGGAATAAAAGACAGATAATAGGAGAAAGAGAGAATGAGGAAAAAAATGTATTATAATCCAAGTTGTAAACTAGGTTGGATAACATATATAAAAGACTACCTTTGAGGTACAGGATCTAGGATAAATCCTGAGGGAATTTCACTGACCTTATCAGACCCTAAAGCTACAACTCTTGTTGCACAGGTCCTGCTTTACCTTGGTCTTAACCATCCGGCAGAAAAGTATAAAAATGAAGTATAAGAATTAAAGCCATGGTGTTATGTTGAGCTGCAGGGGACTCAGGTCAACAATTTCTGACTTTGCCAGTCAAGCAGAAGACCCAATACTATTATGGGATACTGGACTCTTTTAGAATATTTTGCTGAGTTTACACACCTGTAATATTCAAATAACAGAACTTAACAAAAAAAGGGTATACAGATGTATGTCAATTTTGTATCTGTGTATTCAAAGTGGTTAGGATAGATATATAGTTACATTCTCTTAAAGAATAAAGTGATTTGTTCTAATGGTGTTTGTAAATAGGATCA